CCTCCAGTTTCCTCTTCTTGGCAGTCAGTTCAGCATTGATTTCCTTCTCATCCTCCAGTCTCTTGTTTGTCTCTTTGAGTTTGCCCTTGAGCTGGATCTTGCTTTTGATGAGCCCTTCACATCTCTCCTCAGCATCAGAGAGGTTTTCAGATTCCTGTTCATTGACATGGATATAGTTAATGACTTATGTTCATAGCTGTAGGATCCATATTGGGATAAATAAGAGCTGAAATACTCACAGAAGTTACTTGCAGTAGAAGATCATTTTTCTCCTGAACAAGTGCCACCATTTTATCCTCAAGCTCCTTCTTTTTAGCTAATGCCTTTGTTAAATCTTCTTTCATTTTCTCAAAGTTCTCCTTCATTGATGCCATTTCTTTTTCACTCTCTGCACTCTTCAGAAGAGGCTTGATCTTGAAATACACCTTCATCCATGGCCAATGTTTTACATTCATGAATGAGCGAATGTTGTATTGGATGGAATAAATTGACTCCCTGTTTAAATTGTAATCAGTAAATCAGCCTTTATCACTCTGTGGTACTAAACAGTTGTGTTCCAAACATTATTGTAAGTTGTACCTCCTCTCCGTCATTTTGACAAACTCCTTCCTCATGACATATCCACGGCACAAAGCCTGAGTCATGGTAACCAGACTTGATAGTTTTTCATCTCTCATCTCCTCAAGACCACCCAACAGACCAGCTTTGAAGAACACCTACATTTGGAATACATTAGCGATGTAGTGTTGAAGAAGCCAATAAGTACTTTTCAGCATTGATGTGGCCTGGGATACACTATATGGCCCTGATAATAATTGAGTTTCGCTGTTCCAGTAATTCCAGTGGGGAAAAATCTATTATGTTCTATACTATAGTATAGAATGACATTTGAGAGAATTCTGTCCTTTCCTTTTTGATGTAACAGTTTGAGGAGGCATGACAGTGTCCAGTACACAAAGTGGGGTACATATAGAAATGTTTTGTGTAATCTGGTGTGGAATAACTTAACCTGACACAAAGCCTAGACTTGAACGCCTATTCACAAGCTTCAGGCCTTCCTTCCTCAGACTGTTGCAGGACAATTGGAAGGACTGAATTCTCTACAATGTCATTGTGTTGTAGCAGAGTCAAAAATGAGAAGGAAAGAGTTGAAATAGTTTTGTCCACATGGTGTATTTGCTGAGTAGCTCACCTTGGTGTGTCCAAATTTGTATTGGGTGACCTTGGGGTGTCCAAATTTGTATTGGGTGTGGTCAACATCAATAGTGCCCAAGAGTTTCTCTGTAGCCTTTTTGTTGTCAATGAACTGTCCATCAGGGATGACGCTAGCGTTTAATACTTTGTATCTAGAAGACATTTAGGGCAGAGTAGTATTCTTGTGAAATATGTAAGAAAGTGAAGATTAGGTGATATATCATCTCTAAGTAAGAAGTTGTCTTTATCTCTGCTTGAAGTCACCGTAGTGGATTCTGCTGGGAAAACCCTTTCTGCAGATTCTGATACCCTCCAGCACACCATTACACCTGAGCTGGTGGATAACCAGGAAGTTCTCCATCAGACCTGAAATGCAAATGTTCTTAAGGTTCCAGACATTATTTTTCAAAACTGTGATGCATTTGAGTCTTCAAGGATCAAGATTACCTGGAGTCTTGGATTCATTAGGAATCAAGCAGCGCACAAAGTGAGGGTGAGTGCTCCTCAGGTTAGACATCAGCTTACCCAAGTTCTCCTGTGAAAATGTTTGTAATTAATCTAATCTGTAATGGTGAAAAAATTCACAAACTTCAATAAGAGAGATAATTTGTTTACCCTAAAAACTGCAGACACCGTCTGGAAGGAACCACCCTTCTTCTTGGCTCCTTTCTTTCCACCTCCCTCTGTTTTATATCAGAAGGTTTTATTTTGTGTTAATCTTGTGTTGCTTTCCATTAACCCCTTCAATAAATCTCTATTTACATCTTGTTGAATCTAACTGTTATCTTGCATAGATATACTTCATATTTTGAAACTCCAAAATCTGTGATCACATAGTTTGTTGCGTTCTGATGATCTCATTATTTTTTAAAGTTTTTGTATAAGCAGGTGTCTTGTACATAATTAAACCACAAAGGAACTGAGGAAATGCAGATGTTTGTACCTTCTGCACCTGCAACAACAGCATACAGGAAGGCCAGCACTTTGAGTGATGACTTTTGGTAAAGTT